AAATATATCATACTCCTGCTTCAATGAAAGCTGTTCTTCATCCTGACTGGAACAGATTTCCTCCTGGTCATCTTCATTCTGTGAAGATTCTGGTTCCTCCTGGTCATCTTCAATCGGTGAAGGTTCTGGTTCTTCCTGGTCATCTTCATTCTGTGAAGGTTCTGGTTCCTCCTGGTCCAAACTGGAGTTGCTCTCCTGATTATAGAGCTGCTGGTCAGTGAGAACCTCCTCCTTCCAGACACAGTGCTGTGGGAGTTCTGGACCTACAAGACAGAGAAAATAAATCTGATTATTGTGACTTAAAAGAAGCACACGTCTCTTTAACTTGCACTTGCTCTTCCAACGATCCATTTTCGTTACTTGTTTTGGGAGTCCACCAAAATGGGGACCGCTACCCAGAATGCAACGCGCCATTACGTTGTTGCCTACTCTCTATATCTGATCAACGCCATCTTATTCTGTGACTGTTTCCATAATAGTCATGGTATTGGAGGTCAGATGATACTTTTTATTCTTTGGAGGAAGTAGAGTCAGCAGAAACAGTTTGCTTCAACGCTGGTTTGTTCGGCTTTTTTCTTTCTTTTCCCTTTTGAGTTTGTTTCCCCACCCCCAAAACCTTCAAAGCTTGTTTTTGGAAAATAATGCAGTAAAAACGCAACAGCGCCCCCTACGGTCAAATATACGGCGGTCGCAGAATATGGCGTAACACTTGATTAACACAAACTGCATCTAGCAGGACTTTCCTGGACTTATGTCCTGGTTAAACCTCCATCCTGCAGCTGCAGCTCCTACCTGCTGCGTGTGGGTTTATCTGAGGTTTCCAGCTGATGTCCAGCAGTCTGCGCTGACGGTCGATCACCTCCTCGTACTGGACGATGGTTTTTTCAAACTCTGTGAATATTTCTTCAGCAGCAGCAGTTAGTCGCTCGCTGATAAACTCTCTCAGAGACTGAACTGAAGACATTGTTGCTGCGAACACTCAAACGTTCACCTCTCACTCAAACACGCGGCACAAACCAGGACAATGTGGAGCGAGCTGCATATGCTAACAATGATAGCGCATTGGCTACTTCCGCCCTGGTGTTCACACTATTGCGTTCCGGCAGGAAACAGGATACGTGCCCGATTCAAATACAAAAAACAAACAAACAATAAAACAACAACACATTTTATGCATAAAATATTAGTTTACGAAAAAAATCTTGGTCTACGTCATGTAAATGATAAGGAAAGAAATTCGACCAAAAATCTTCAATTTCTAAACATGCTTACTATTTTTGCCTGCTTGTTCAAACGAAACATCTGTATTTTTTTAATTAAAGTTTAGAGAATGACGTATTAGTTTATTAATTTTATTATTTATTTATACTGGGAACGCGACATTGTTGCACTGTGCTTGATAAACCTCTAAAATTCACCTCACAAACCAAAACGGCCAAATAAACCACTGGGGACTGTGCTCTCTCCAGTTCTGTGCACGTGACTTCAAAAACGGAGATCATGCAGAAGATCATGCAGGTCATCCACCAGGACCAGAGACTTATTGCGTCCCCAGCAGGTCCGTGGTAGATAATACCTGATTTAAGATGGAAGTCTCCAGTTCATTGGGTCTGAATACAGCGTTGGTCTCATTTGACCAACGTGGCTTTTGACCACATTGAGCACAGCTTCCTCTGGGAAACCATGGAGGGGTTTGGGTTCAGCGCTGGTTTTATAGCCAAGAGCCAGGTTAGGGTGACCAGACGTCCCCGATTTTCGGGGACAGTCCCCGTTTTGGACGACCTGTCCCCAGCTAAAGCTGTCCCTGAAAATGTCCCCGGTTTGAGCGTTTAATGAATGAGAAAAACAAGTTGCATGTAGACTGTTATTACAGTAGCCGGGTGCAGTTGCATGCAACAGCTGCTGTTACTGCAGCAGCTGGTTGCGCCGACGCTGCAACGCTGATGTTACAGACAGGGCCGGATTTAGGAGGATGGGGGCCCCTGGGCTGGAGTCAGGATGGGGGCCCCT